TCTGATGACAGCTACAACTTTGCAATGTTTTTTATTTTATTTTATTTATTTATTTATTTTTGGGTTTTGTTTTTTATTTTTATACCACAGGTGAACACTGGGCTCTGAGAGGAGAGAGGAGGTGGAGATAATCTGGAGAGGGGGTCTTGTTACACAAATGCTCAGGATAGGGGAAAAAACAAACTTAACCACACTGATTTGGTAGAGCCCCAAATTCATGAAAGCCCTACACAATCTAACCCTTTTTTAACATGCAATCTTTATAGGTATAGAATTCCTCTGAATATTCTTTTCAGAGCGTCACAGATACGGCAGGTCTCCCCGGCCGGGAAGAACAATCCTGGAGAACCCAGCTATGCAACCTCTTAGCCAAGAAAAGTACTGCAGGTGAGTGAAACAATAGCCTTGGGGAGGAAAGACATCAGCTTACAGGTTCTAACACGATCAAGTATCTGCTAGAAGAACCAATCTAGATAGCTGCTGTTCAATATGGTACTCATTGGTAACAATACCACACCGCACACTTAAAAACTTGTTAAGGGGCGCCTGGGTGGCTCAGTCGGGTAAGCATCTGACTCTTGATCCCAGCCCAGGTCTTGAGCTCCGGGTTATGAGTTCAAGCCCTGCGTTGGGCTCCATGCTGGCCGTGGAGCCTACTTAAAAGAAAAAAAAGAAAAAAGAAAAAAAAGCTGGTAAGAGGGTAGATCTCATATTAAGTGTTCTTACTACAATAAGAAAAAAAATTTTTAAATGATCATATATCTGCTAAGTGGTATTCTAGTTAGCCCACAGGAAGGACTGAGAAAGAGAAACTGCAGGATTCCCAAAATGTTGCAAAGATGTCCCTTTATGCCTCTTCTGTGAACGTACACACACACACACACACACACACACACACACACACACACACACAACTAGCATCTTCCTCCTTTTCCCAGTTAACTTCTAAATCTTGATTCCTATGTGTGCTTCATGTATCTTCTTCATATAAATCCTTGGCCCTTTCGCAAGACGCAGCACCGTGTATAAAAGAAAAAGAGGTTCTGTTTCCCAAGTCGGCTACCACCTGCGGGTGGAGTCACTCCAAGCCTGTTCCCTCAGGAAGAAGAAGGGATGTGAAGCTACGGTCATGATCGCAAGGGCCCTGCATGAGCCCTCACGTGAAAGTTTTCAGAACTACATTCTTAAGAACTAGCCTCCACTTTGAATGAAGTGACCCACAGCCAGCCCTACGTGCAACCATGAGCACCTTGAGCTTCCTCAGAATATAATTGTAAGCAACTCAAACTGCTTTATCACAATGGTCCTAAATCTCCAGTTACTCCTCCTGGCAACTATAATAAAGTCAAGAGGGACCAAAGCTTCCATCATTTGCTTCCCACAGGACTGAGAAGGAGGCAGCCCTGTGTCCAGGGAACACACCTCGCGCGCTCCCCTGTCAGGAGGACCATTCCTCCTGGCCTCGTTCTGAGAAGGCAGTGACAGGAAAGGCCAGGCGCCCGTCCAAACACCACCCAGATGCCAGCTGAGAGCCCCGGCAGAGGAAAAGAGAACCTCCACTGTGGGATAGAGAAAGGAAAAGCAAAGCACTTGCAGATGTTTCCCCACCCACCACCCAGAAACCCAGGAGACCGGGAGCCCAGACTGCTGCTTCACCAGAAGGCCTCTGTCCGGCTTACCCGAAGGCCACCATGTACAATGACGACCTGGCCCTGTCACAGACATTACCTCGTACCCATATGCTGTCAACACACATGCTACTGTCTCTTGTTTGGGATCTGTCTCCCCGAGGGCAGGGGGGGCACTGTGCCAGTTTTATCACTAATTTACACCAGCCACCATGTAGGTACTCGAGGACTACGAAACGGATGAGTGAACGAATACATGAATGAGTGATATCCTAGTCACAACAACCCAGTGAAGCGGGAAAGTACTATGGTCTCTGTTTCTCAGGTAAGAAGAGACACCTAATGGAGGCGATGACTTGTCCAAGGACAGACAGGTCTGGGCGTTTCCTCACATGATCATAATAAATACACTCATTAGCACCTACCCGTCCCTTTGCACAAGTTCACTTCTCAGATAATGTAGGAGAGGAGAGGCCTTGAAAGACTGACACTCTAACATCTAAATTTTCAGGGGGTGAAAGTGAAAGTGAGAAGGAGGGGCAGAAGGATGAGATGGGTCAAGAGCATGGAGTTCTCGGGGAATGGGAAGGAAGGATGCACTGAGGACCCCCTACTTCAGAGACAGCTCCCTGAGAGGCCCTGGGCATCACAGAGTCTGCAGGAGGAATCTGAGCTGTGAGGAAAGAGGCATTTCCAAAAAGCAGAGGGGGAACACACAGGGACCAGGCAGCTGGTCTGGAAAATTCAGATTCCCATTTCTGCTTCCAATGCCCCACCTCAGGATCATTCTCTCCAAGAACTCCGAAGGTTCTGGTGGTTCATCTGCTCAAGAACCAGCTCTACATGTTGAGAGGACACAGACCCCAAATGGCCAGAAGGGAGCTGACTTCTGAAAGACAACGGGGAGAGGCCCGGCCATTAGCCTGTGGGGAGCTGCTGAAGCCACATAGGTCAGGTTTCTGCTCCTCGATCTATGGGGACACAGAAGAGGCTGAAAGCGGGCTTTGAAGAAGTAGGTGACTATGAGTATCCACACAGAAGAGCCAACTATCGATACCAGAGTGTTCTCTAGAGACCCTGAACCCTGATTATCTAGTACTGATAAGATCCTAGATGGTGGCTCCTGAATCCAAATCCTGCAGGGTGGCAGAGGGAGCACCGAGGGTAATGAAGATGATCATCTTGGTTAGAGGTCAGGCCGCTCATTGTGAGGAGACAGAAAAGACAAGGGAAGTGGGAAGAAGACTCTGGAGTTCAGGCTCAGAAACCAAACCCGCCTCCCCACTTAAAGAAATCTGATCAGCACCCTTGCTCTACTCATTGTCAGCCTACCTGCTGAATCCTCCAGGGCACTAAGTGGATGCTCTGTAGGCCAGGTCCCCAGGCCACCATCATCTGGTTCCATGCTCCTAAACAGGCTTTCCACTCCTTCTCGCCACCGGGGCTCCCACCACTCAACTGGGAGTGGTGGGCGTGCTGTCCCCAGATGCTCCACCACTGCCCTCTGCCTGCCTTTGCCTTACCCATCCATTAGGGCAAAATACCAACAGCAAACACTCCCACGCCCTTGGAATGGCCAGGAACCACTCCAGGCACCTAGCACACACTAACATACTGACTCTGCACAACAGCCCTTGGAAGAGGCATTATTAGTATCCCCACTTTACAGATTAGAAAACTGAGGCACAGAGAGATTGACTTTCTCCAGGCCCCATAAGCTAGGAAGAGGCAGCGACAAGATTCAAGCCACAGTCAGCACCAGAGTCCTTCTTCCCAACCAGCAAGCTGCACTGCCTCTCATGGCACAACCCAGCCAGCCCCTCCTCCCCAAGCCTTCCCCAGCCCCTTCATGGACAGCTCCTTGCAAATCTTCATGCCACTTTCCACATTGGCGTGGCATGATTATTGATTAGATTCTCGTCATCGCTTCCCTCCTACATTAAAAAACCTAGGAGAGCAAGGCTTCAGGGTTATTTCTACATCATCTTTGTATTCATATCCTATAGCTGCTGTAACAAATTGTCATCAATTTTGTGGCTTAAAACAACACAGATTTATTATCGTGCAGCTCTGTAGGTCAGAAATCCAACACCAATCTCTCTTGGCTAAAATCAAGGCATCTGCCAGGCTGGGGGCTCTGAAGAAGAGATTGTTCCCTTGCCTTTTCCAGCTTCTAGAGGCTGCTAGCGTTCCCTGGCTCCTGGCCCCTTTCTCCATCTTCCAAACCAGCCACATATCATCTCTCTGACTCTTCTTCTGTGGGCACATCTCCCTCTGACCACAGCCAGAAAGGTTCTCTGCTTTTAAGGACCCATGTGATTAGACTGGGCCCACCTAGAAAACCCAGGATAATCTCATCTCGAGACCCTTAACTTAATCACATCCATCCTTGAATGCAAGGAAACATTCACAGGTTCTAGGGATTCGAACATGGACATCTTTGGGGCCATTACTCTACCACAGTCTTTGTATGAATGTCTTGAACACAGTGCTCCCCTGACCAATATGGAACTGAACTGAATCCCCATCAGACTTCAGCTGCACCAGCTCCTGAATGCTTGATTATATGATCCTTCCACTGGCCTCTGATTGTAGTGTACATCAGTCTTGTGTGCCCAAAATGGCCAATAGCTCTTTGAAAGAATGTCTCCCCTTTTCATAGCCCCAAACTGTGATACTGGTGGACACATAAAGATGTTTAATAATCTGGGGATCAAACACAATGCTAATGAACCTATAGGTAGGTTCAGTCCCTATCTCAACAACTGTTTTATTTTCTATTTTTTGTTCCATATTTAATATTTATTAATTCTTAAAATATAACACTTCTTTCAAAATGTAAAAAATACAAAATATATTATTCTATAATAATAAAAACTCTCCCTCTTTCTCCTCTTAGTCATTTTTTAGTATCCCTCCAGAGCTATTTTACGCATATGCAAACACATACACATATTTATTATTCCCCCCTTCCTTTCCTGTAAACGGTAGACTCACTTACGGCCCTTTCTACACCTCGCTCTTTACTTAACCATGTAGACTGCTCCACAGCTGTCCACAGAGCATCCCTGTTCTCTTTTAGTGGCTGTGTCCTCCTCTGCTGTGCAAATGTAACGTAACTCATGTTCACCAGCTCCCACGGATAGACACTCCTGCCACGTAAACAGTGAATCCTGTGACTTTATCTCAAGGACAAATTTCTTTAAGTGGAATTTCTGAGTCAAGCCAGACCATGTGAATTATTAACTCTGACAGATACTGGCCATGTGGCCCCTATAGGAAACTAATACACATTCACCACACATGTATGTGTGAGTTTTGTTTTCCCATTAACTCCCTAACATGGATGGTTTTCAAAATGTTTTTATCTTTATCGCTTCTCGGCCTTTTGGCTAAGATCAAGTGCAAAATGTTTTTATCTTTGTCAATCCCAGATAGGTGAAATGTGTTAATATTTCAGGGCAATTTAATCAGAATTTTAAAAATTACATGTGAGGTCAAGCATTTTTTATGTGTTTAGGAGCCACTAAATTATTTTCTATGGATTGTTTCTTCATATCCTTTGACCATTTTCCTATGGTATGTTTGTTCTTTTCCTTATTGATTCGTAGGAGTTTTTTACATATTAGGAAAAATAATCCTTAATACATGATATAAAATGCAAATATGTTTTTCTGATTTGTAATCTTCTACTTTGCTCATGGGGGTTCTGCTATGCCAACTGTTTTTAGGTAATGAATTCTATCAAACATTTCCTTATGGCTTCTAATTTTGTACCATACTTAGAAAGCCCATTCCTACTGCAAAGTTATAAAAGTATTCTCCTTTGGATTATTCCAGAAACCAAACAGCTATAAGCAGTGAAAAGTTATTTTCTATGGTCATGAATTACATCCTGGCCATAAATGCTATTAGCCATAATGCACACACATGGAATTTAAGGTTTTTAAAGTAACTTTTATTCTCTAACGTTCTGCAGTTTAGAAAGCACTGTCCCATGACAGTTGGTGAGGCAATCAACTTATCTGTCTCATTTTACAGAAGAGAATACCAATACCCAGAGAGGATAAATGACCACCGAAAGCCACACCGTGTGGTCCAGACTCAAACCGAGGGCTCCTAAATGCCGGAAACTGCTCTCCTCTCCCCTGTACCTCTTCTCTTAACAAAAGGACAACACCCACATGCATTAAAATCTTAAAGGACATCTCCAAAGTCATTTCTAAATAATTTCAAAAGAAAGCGAATAATAACTTTTCTATTCAAAAAACAGTATTTATTTAAGTGGGTCACACAGTGATCCAATTAAACAGTGACTCATCCTCAAATGCCCATGCCAATGTTCTCACCAATTGACAGAATTCCATGTTCTACAGTGTGCCTATATGACCTCACAAATTTAACTGAAAATTCAAAGATGTAAAAGTTCCCAAGAGGGGCGCCTGGGTGGCTCAGTCGGTTAAGTGTCCGCCTTCAGCTCAGGTCATGATGATCTCAGGGTCCTGGGATCGAGCCCCATGCGGGGCTCCCTGCTCAGCAAGGAGTCTGCTTCTCCCTCTCCCTCTGTTCCTAATGCCTGCTTGTGCGCTCTCTCTCAAATAAATAAAATCTTAATAAATAAATAAATAAAATAAAAGTTCCCAAGATTCCATGGCTTCAGAGTGGATCAGGATGAGCAGGGCTTATTTTGAGGAAGGGGAGAAAGTAAGGTGTATCCAAATCCTGGAGGGTTCTTTCCAAATCTCACACAGCATTCTCCATCACCAACCCCTCAACAGTCCCACCCCAGAAGGTCACTGCACGCCCCCTCAAATGTATTGATGAAAGAAACTTTTTGAAAACCACTGTTTCAGAGGACATGGTCTATAGTTGCACAACCCCTACAAAGCACACTCCTCTGGTTCTCCAACCAACACCTTGTCTCAACTCCTCTGCACACTCATGGTGACTAATTGCCCTATAGGTCAGTTCTGAAACTCCCACCTCAGGCCTCTTATTTTCTCTGATGGCCCCTCCCACCTTCCCACCCAACCGACCATGGTGGCTCCTTCCCATCCTGCAGGTCTTGGTTTAAATGCCACCTCCTAGGGCACCTGGGTGGCTCAGTCGGTTAAGCGTCTGCCTTCAGCTCAGGTCATGATTCTGGAGTCCCAGAATCGAGCCCCGCATCAGGCTCCCTGCAGCAGGGAGTCTGCTTCTCCCTCTCCCTCTGCTCCTTCCCCTGCTCATGCTCTCTCTCTCTCTCACTCTCTCAAATAAATAAAATCTTTAAAAAAAGTAATAATAAATAAATAAATGCCACCTCCTCGGAGGGGCCTCCCCTGACCACCCACTAAAGCAAACTCCCCCAGTAATGCTCTGCCTTTTTATTTTCTCCTTAGGATTTATCACAGTCTGTATTATTTTATCTATTAATCTATAGATTGTTGTTTATTATCTGTCCTCTCAAAGGTCCCATGAGGGCAGGGACCTTGTCCAAATCATTCACGCTTTATAACCCAAGCACTTAGCAGAGTGCCTGCCATATAGTAAGTGCCCAATACATATTGGGTCAATTAAATTTGATTGAATTAGTCCCAACTAATTTTCTCCACATCTGCATCACCATCAAGTTTCAAAGCAGCACAACCACATGGGCTGGGAGGCGGGGCAGAAGAACAGGGGGCCTACCTCCCCTGCCAGCCCTCTTCCTCTCACCCATGGTTCGTCACTCACCTTGGAAGAAAAGAAAGCTTCTAGCCAGCAACAGCCCAGAGGGGAATGTCTTCAAGACCACACGTCTTCCTCTATTGTTTTCTATCTTTCCTCCTGACCTACCTCCACTGGATGGTGAAGGATGAGAATGGGAAGTAACGTTAGTTATGCCACTAATAATCAGAAATAGTAATCAAAGTAAAAACAGCAGATTGCTAACTATGTGCCAGACACTGTGAGGGGCCTGTAACGTGAATTATCTCATCTAATCCTCGAGATACTTGTACTTCAATTTTACAAATAAGGAGACCGTGCCCAGGGTCATGTGGCTAAGGAAGTGAAGGAGCCAGGATCGGAAGCCAGGTAACTAGCCGCCCCCCTTACCACAGGGACCCCCTATGCCCAGCATGGCATCCGTGCTACATCCTTAGAAATAAATGCGTGAAAGATAGCAACCAATAAAATGAGTTATTAATGTCTCAAATGCTTTAGGGAGGTGAGGTGGGGGCAGAGTTCTATCTGTATCTGAGCCTGGGAGAGCCAGCAGCCGAACATCTAGACATGCCTTTCTCATCCTCAGAAAGGAGTAATACTGAGAGAAGGGTAGGACCCTCCCATGAGAGACCTCTTTAGTGTCAAGGGCTCTAAAGGACCCTCTAAGAATAGGAGACAATGACAATTCAGTTCAATAAGTAATCACTGAGCACCTACTGTGTGACATTCTAGGTCTGGTCTTGGTGAGGAGCATGTTGTTTTTTTTTTTTAATGGTTAAGTTACACTCTCTGAGTTCTATGACCTAAAGATGCCCAGACACAGATATGAAACAGTTCACTCGTAATGCAAAGCTCACTGTATGTGGGGAAAAAAAAGACAGCACTGATAACAAGGCTACCGGCAAGAATGGAGAGGGAGAGGCTTCATGGACAAGGTGGGGCTTGATGAGGCCTTGACACTTGCATTAGGACAAGCCCAGAAAACAGGACCAGGTGATTAAGAAGCAGTACCACTTCTGGAGATCTAGAGATCCAGCGCCCCAGGAGTGGAGGAGCTATGTTGGTAGAATATTGCAAGGAAATAAGTCTAGAAGGCTTCCTATGGGCATCTAGGATGGGAAAGTCCCCTGAAGGATAAGAGGAGGAATTTGAACAGTCCTGCTGGAAGGCAGGGATGAGTGAGTTTCCATGACATGATGGCAATGACTCATCTGGGGATGGGGTGGAGGATGGATTGACAGGGAGAGAAATTATAGGCTGGGGACTTCACCAGGGGGTTGCTAGGATGCTCTGGCCTGCAGGAGAGATCATGGACCCAAGGTGAGCAGCGGGGGGGATGGAAAAGTACTTGAAAGTAACAAGAAGCAGGACACAGAGGGTGTTGGGGGCAGTGAAACTATTCTATAGGCCACTAGAATAGTGGACACATGTCAGACCTTTGTCAAAACCCATAGGGTGTACAGCGCGGTGAGTGAACCTTGATGTAAAGTGTGGACTTTGGGGGATGATGGGGGAGGGAAGGCTGGCAGTATATAGCATCTCTCTGTGCTCTCCCCCACGTCTGCTGTGAACCTAAAACTGCTCTTAAAAAAAAACAAAAAAGGAAAACAGTATGGAGTTCCTCAAAAAGTTGAAAATAGAGCTGCCCTACGACCCAGCAATTGCACTACTGGGTATTTACCCCAAAGATACAAAGGATGATACAAAGGATGATACAAAGGGTATAGCGGTCTGAAGGGGTACGTGCACCCTGATGTTTATAGCAGCAATGTCCACAATAGCCAAACTATGGAAAGAGCCAAGATGTCCATCAACAGATGAATGCATAAAGAAGATGTGGTATACACACACACACACACACACACACACACACACACACACACACACACTGGAATATTATGCAGCCATCAAAAGGAATGAAATCTTGCCATTTGCAACGACATGGATGGAACTGGAGGGTATTATGCTGAGCGAAATAAGTCAATCAGAGAAAGACAAGTATCATATGACCTCACTGATATGAGGAATTCTTAATCTCAGGAAAAAAACTGAGGGTTGCTGGAGTGGGGGGGGTGGGAGGGATTGGGTGGCTGGGTGATAGACATTGGGGAGGGTATGTGCTATGGTGAGCGCTGTGAATTGTGTAAGACTGTTGAATCACAGGCCTGTACCTCTGAAACAAATAATACATTATATGTTAAAAAAAAAAAAGATAGTAGGAAGGGAAAAATGAAGGGGGAAATCGGAGGGGGAGACGAACCATGAGAGACGATGGACTCTGAAAAACAAACTGAGGGTTCTAGAGGGGAGGGAGTGGGGCGATGGCTTAGCCTGGTGATGGGTATTAAGGAGGGCACGTTCTGCGTGGAGCACTGGGTGTTATGCACAAACAATGAATCATGGAACACTACATCACAAACTAATGATGTAATGTATGGTGATTAACATAACATAATAAAATTTAAAAATGTAAAATAAAAAAAGTCTACTTAAAAATACGTACATAATGAGAAAAACTTGGACAAGAGCATGATGGGGAAAAGGGAGTCAAGGATGACTCAGCAGGCAGGTGACTGGAAAAAGACTGGTCACCGGCAGAAAGAAGTTGGAAAGGGGACGCCTGTTTTCAGAGCTGAGCGAGAAAGACGAGGTCAGGTGGGAACATGCTGAGGTGATGTAGGATATCCACACAAAACCACCTTCAGGCACTTGGAGAACAGTTGGGACTGAGAGAAGAACAGGGGACGGGTAGGCAAATTCGAGACAAAAGTGAGCATTACATGTTCCTCTTCCAAACCGAGTGACAAATTCCCTTTCAGAAAGGAAAAGCATTGCAACACACTGGAAATAACAAGCGTCCCACCGAGCTGGCCGCCTCTGTCACAAAGAAGTGCTACTTAGGTTTGTTCACTTGTGAGAAACTTGGTTGCTTTTGAGAAGAGCGACATCGGGAATTGTGATCTACTGGTCAAGTTCAAATCTGCCCGAAGTTACATCAGTCCAGATATGAAGGACTGGCAAGTAAGGTGAGGGCCAACCGAAAAGGGAGATTTTACCTTTGATTCCCCCTAAGAGGAGCCGGAAGGCCCAGCGAACCGGAAAGCAGAGAAGCTGTCCAGCACCAAGCAGCCTGGCTGTGAATTTCCACTCTGCCCTTTGCCAACGGACAGTATTTAACCTTTTTGTGCCTCGGTTTCCTCACCTGTAAAAAGGGGGACACCTGCCTACTTTGTGGATCTGTTGCAAAGAGCAAACGTGGAGGTGTGTGCCTAGGGCTTGCTGTGTCAGCCACTGTCACTGTTCACTACCAGCCATCCTAGATTTTTCCAAGACCTTGGAGGTAAAAATGCTGAGGTCTCTTCCTCGGGATCACAGAGCACTTGCTCCTTTAAAAAAAAAAATGTTCTCTTCAAGTATCTGTTTTGTCACATGGAATAGTAGTATTTTCAGAAGCAGAAAATTTTAGATCTCTATGCTCTGAAACTCTTGGCCATTGCCTGCAGCAAATCATTCCCCCAGGGATGCCCAACGCCTGACCTTGATCCAAGACGGTGAAGATAAGCCAGATAGAAAGTTCTTTTTAAAGTGGGTGAAATACCCTTAATAAGTGAAAAAAATCTCTTATGATTTATAAATAATAAACATAAATGAGTCTTGAATGAATGAATGAATGAATAAAAAAGTAAGAAAGTAAATAAGTAAGTAAAATACCAAAGTTATTATTCCTTAAATTATTTGCCAAAGAGCTGACTGTAATCCAAGGGCGTTTGACACGTGTTTGTTTACAGACTTGGTTTAGCAAAGTTCTCAAAACAGAGGTCACAGTTTTTCAAGGTTTCTCAGCTGTCAGGGAAATGAGCTGACTAGAAAAAACCAGCATCCAGTCTGCACCTTCTTGTAAATCACTGCACTGATTACCTGGCATAGGAATTTTCATGTGTGTTCAAGCAGAAGGAGGCCAGATTCTCGGGGTCTGTTCATCCATAGGTGGCTGATAAAAAGGTTCTGCCTCCTGCTCTGAGATACCAGAACCCAGAGCTATGATAACACCACCCCCCAACCCAGCTGGGAACCCAGAGCTGCTGCAAGGACAACTGTCTTCTCCCCTTTTTTCCTTTCTCTCCAGCTCTTCCAAATGCCACTTTACAATAAGGACAGCTGCTATGTCAGTAAGGGAAGAAAATTATCAGGTAATAGAAAACTCTTCTTTGCGTGTTTGTATTTCTAAGTCCTAAGGAGCAGAGGTTCCTAACACACAAAGCGCCTACACTTTGAACTGTTTGGGTCTGTAAGTTTGAGGAAGGAACTGGGGAGTAGCCATAGTCATAGAGGGAAAAGCCTGCAGCTCAGACGAAAGTGAGGAGGGAGGGACAGGGCTCAGAGGCAGAGAGAGGGTAGGTCAGGAGCCGCACGGGCCGACTTCTCCCTAACCTAGGTAAGTCCACTGAATGGTAGCACAGATTCCTTCACCAGTATGTCAGGGCTGACACCAAGGTAAAACCGAGAGAGCAGGGGAGCCCTCTCCCACTCGCACCCTAGGGAATTAGCAGAAACCCTGGGAGGATCTGGAATTCCCCAGGCCATGGGCTTGTGGGTTCTCACCAAGGTTTATTAGTTCTCTAAGGAACAGGAGGACCCAGAGGCCACCTGGCTTAAAAGAGAATGTGCCTTTCCTCCCCAAAACTAGTTAAACAGTCTGATTTTACTACCTAACATCAAAACACCACAGGAACGCATCCAAAAGCAAAGCATGAAGGGACATCCACCCCATTTTGCTTGCACTCCACAGGTTTCACCTGGCACCCAGGTTCTCTCAGTGAAAGGTGGTAAACTGGGACAGAACCAAACAAGCAGTAGTGGACAAGGTGGGTGTGCCTCTCCAGATGCACCCCCACTTCTTTGAAACCAGTCTCCAAAAGGTCAAGCTCATATAGTGTGACCCCCACCCCAACCCTCTGCCATCCACCCCACACTCAGGGCCCTGCCACCGGTTTCGGCCATTTGCAGGGACCATCCAGTCCACACTGTGGGGCTGACAAATCAAGGGGATGACAGGTTCCAATGTATGTTCTAAAAAAGATTACTCTGGGGGCGCCTGGGTGGCTCAGTCCGTTAAGCATCCAACTCTTTGATT